GTACTGCGCCTTTGGACTAATCCAGCTGCCATAGGCCGATGCACTGTGCATTATGGGATATGGAGGACAGCGCTTTACCAACAGAGAGGGAGAGAGAGGGGGGAAAACATTACCTGATGGATCGTTGGTAATGGCATTAAATAAAAAATACATTACATGTCAGCAACCAAGGCTATCTTCATGGCAGGAATCTTTCAACAATAAATATACAATTTAAAAATCAACAAACAAAATAAAACATAAATTAAATAAGATTTTTTGTGTTAATACATGATAAAAATTCTAAAATCTTTTTCGGTTTCACTTTGTTAAAAATGTCCTTAAAAGAGTTAATTTCATAAAAAAAGTCTTCTGGAATCAGTAAAAGCAGGACAGTCCAGTAAAATGTGTTTTACAGTAAGAGGAGTTTTGCAGCACAAACACCGAGTGGGGTTTTCACCTTGGAGCAAAAAACCATGTGTTATTCTCGTACGCCCAATACGACATCTGGTAAAAACTACTTGATCAAATCGATTGTTAAAATGTCTTAAAATTCTGTGTGAAATTTCAGGTTGGATTTCATGTAATTTATTGTTTTCTAATGCATCCCATTGCTTTTGCCACTTGTTTAAAATGTAAGCGTTTATAAAAGGTTTCATCTCTGACGGAGGGATTTGGCATTTGTTCACTACTTGCTTAAAAGCATCTTTAGCAGCTGCATCAGCTCGCTCATTGCCTGAAAGTCCGTCATGTCCTGGAACCCAGCAGAAAATGATGTGATAAAACTGATTTTGTAGTTGGTGAACTTTAGTTAAAATATTATCAATCAAAGGATGATCATTCTTTGAAGATTCCATAACTTGGAGGCATGATTTAGAGTTTGTAAAAATGATGGATTTCTTTTGCTGGGCATTTTCTATAAACTCCAATGCTAAAAGTAAAGCGCGGGCTTCAGCTGTAAATATGGAGCAATCTTTAGGCAGACTGATTCCATAATGTTGTTGACCAGTTTCCATTGCTGCTGCTACGCCATTTTCCACCTTTGAGCCATCTGTAAAAAATAGGTGAATGCTGAGAATTTTGGCTTCTAATATCCAAATATTGTTGTCTGTATACATTGGGATGAGTCACTCCTTTCTTCTGATGTCCTAAATCCATATTGATTATGGGCTTCTTTAGAGTGATGGATCGTTGGTAATATTTCCGCAAGATGACCATGTCGCAGTTTAGCTAAATGAATTCACGCCTCCTCCTGAAGTGATGTGCGATGCATTAAACCCTGTTTTCCAGCCACGGCCGCGATTCATTCTCAAAATCTATAGTTTGTCTAAAGCAGGGATACAATCAGCCAGCGCAGAGTAAAAAGCGACATTTTGTGTCTGCAGGTTTGTTTACTTGTGGGAGTTCACTGGCATTTTCCCGCAAGTGAATTCTGACCAATCGATAAGCAGTTTAGGAAATATGTTCAACATCATCTGGCCAATGAGAGATGTGGATTTTGTCACATGACTGCATTTTGGTTCTTTTCAACTGGTTTGGACCCAAAGACGGCAGAACATGCAACAATGTATCATTTAACACCCTTGGTCCTGACCAAATGAACCGAACTACAGATGTGAAACCACCCTAACACACTTATTTTTTTCCAGCCAAACTAAAAGAAATAAGACTTTCACAATAGGAAATACTGTGAAACTCCATGCTCTCTTAAACAATTGGGAAATATTTGAAAAAGAAATACATTTTGTCTACAACAGTCTATTTATCAGGTATAGTTTTATCAGGTTAACATACAAACTATTCCACTCATATTTTCATTTTGGAGTGAACAGACCCTTTAAGTGATGCTTTCATTTCAGTAACCCACAGGAGAATAGAGGTTCATCAACTCACCATCTGCTTCCTCTTTGTTTGCATTTACCTCTGGACATTTCCTTGTAATGCAAGTCACACCTGGAAACATGTTCACACAGAAGTTTAGTTTCTTTTGTATATAAACTTGAGAAAGGCTTCATATGCTTAAGAGAAACTCACTCAGAAGGTCCATGACCTCTCGCGTGACCAGCCGCAGCAGCTGCTCCTCCACCATCTCCTGGGTCACATGGTTCTCCTCATAGGCCTCCTCTTCTTCCTGAGCACTAGAAATACAGCATTCATCTGTTTTTGATTCCCAAATATATTTATTGAGTGCTTTTAGCTTAGCATAAAACATTGAATTGGATTAGACCATTAGCATCTGGACTTAAAAATGACAAAATATTTTTATATATTATAATAATAATAATATTTAGTTTAATTGTAATTTTCCAATTTAATAATAATAAATATTCATTCATTTTCTTGTCGGACTTAGTCCCTTTGTTAATCCAGGGTCGCCACAGCGGAATGAACCGCCAACTTATCCAGCACGTTTTTACGCAGCGGATGCCCTTCCAGCCGCAACCCATCTCTGGGAAACATCCACACACGCTCATTCACACATCCACACACTCATACACTACGGACAATTTAGCCTACCCAATTCACCTGTACCGCATGTCTTTGAACTGTAGGGGGAAAACCATGAGCACCCGGAGGAAACCCAAGCGAACGGAGGGAGAACATGCAAACTCCACACAGAAACGCCAACTGAGCCGAGGCTCGAACCAGCGACCTTGCTATGAGGCGACAGCACTACCTACTGTGCCACTACGTCGCCCTTAATAATAGATAATAGATTATTATAACATAATAGTACAGTTCCTAGCCATTTACCAACATGATTTAAGAATGAACAATACTTGTAAAGGATTTATTTATCCAAAGCTGTGCTTATTAACAATATTGCACTGAGTTAACATGAAATATTTTATTGTCCTTATTGTTAACAAACGTGAATGCATAAGTCATTGCTTGCTTATGTTAGTAAAAACATTACCTATCAAAACTAATTGTACAGCGTTAGCAAAACCCTGAACAAAATTTACACAAATTTACACAAACATCCAGGCAGGTGTGTTGAGGCAAGTTGGAGCTAAACCCTGCAGGGACACCGGCCCTCCAGGACCGAGATTGGTGACCCCTGGTTTAGACTATTATCAAACACTATGATTATCTTACCTCAGACTGGCCCGTTGGTTGATGATCTGCCACCGAAAGTTCAGTCTCTGTTTTTTGGAGAAAAAAAAAAAAACTACCTTAGCAAATGTGTGGAAGATTCATATATAATGTTGTCCAATGTTGAAATCTGGTAAATTTTGATAATTAGATGCTAATTAATCTTTGGTTTTAGATCAGGGGTGACCAACCCTGTTCCTGGAGATCGACCATCCTGCAGATTTAAGTTGCAACCCATATTAAACACTGTTATATTAAAGCCTGTAATTATCAAGTGCTGTTCAGGTCCTAAGTAATTGATTCAGGTGTGTTTGATCAGGGTTGGAGCTGAAATCTTTAGGAAGGTCGATCTCCAGGAACAGGGTTGAGCACCCCTGGGTTAGATTAACCGAGGGGTGCNCAACCCTGTTCCTGGAGATCGACCTTCCTAAAGATTTCAGCTCCAACCCTGATCAAACACACCTGAATCAATTACTTAGGACCTGAACAGCACTTGATAATTACAGGCTTTAATATAACAGTGTTTAATATGGGTTGCAACTAAAAT